AAGCCGATGGGGGCGGTGTTTAACGCCCCCCGGTGTTAAAATTGGCCATCACGCCGGTGGGCGTGAAGACCATTACCAGTGCTCTGATGGTAGTAATGTAGTATAAAGAAAAAGTATTTGCCAAAAAGAAAATGGAAAGATAATTTATGAAGGGAGAAATAAGGAAAATGTGATATGGACAGAGAGTATTTTTTTTAATGTTACTTTTTGTTGCATTTATAAAGTTTAGTAACCAATGATTTACCTAACCTTGATGCAAAATCAAACCAAACCACTAACTTACCTTCCCTCTCTCTAGACTCGTCGTTTCTCTCTCCCTCTATACCCATGGATCATCTTCTCTTTCTCCCTCTATACGTGGGGATTACTTCTCTCTCCATGATTTGGGTTCTACAAAGCCACCATCTAGTGATTGTACTTCACACGTAACACAAAAAAATACCTCCTACCAAGTCTATTTCCATCATCTTTAAAACTGATAGTCAAATTGCCCCATTTTATACAAGATGGATTAGGCGGGAAACACCGTTGAAAAAAATAGTATAATTGATTTGATTTATCTCATCAACCCGAATTCAATAAACACTGAATCTTAAGAAAATAATTGAGATACAAATAGAAAAAAGATACGGAGTATTAAAAAAAGGATGAAAATTATAGTACAACAGAGTGAAAATAAGAGCAGAATGTGCACTAGTTAAGGAAATAGCACATCTTTGAGGTTCCCTTCTTTGGCCAAAGGAATGGTTCCTTCTACAGAAATTAGCACAAAATTTCTCATCTGCCACTGGAGGGAGAAAAGGAAGAGCACAACAGTTGAGTGGAATTAATCTTGTTGTGGCAGCACCGTTATAAAGCACGGATGCCCTTTGCACGTCCCAGAGACTGGTCTGGATAAATCTTCTTGGGAAGAAGATGAGATAATCCTCCATTGCAGCAAGTACTTGGACAGATCATATGTCCCTGGAGAAAAGACAGTGATTTGAAGAGGGAGTTCGGTAGAAGATGACGGGCCAAGACTGAAATGGGTCCCACTTGAACCGGACCAGATGAAAGGCATAGCAACAGCAGCATTAGTCTTAAAGGCGGTTTGCGGAGTCTCTAGGTCTGTGCTCAACTCATGCCAGCCCACTTCATCACTACTGCTTGCTGTCTCAGGAATAGCTGAAGAATCCGTGGGACCAACTCGCACGGAGACATGATGGGTATCTGAGGAGTTATGGACAGTCATCTTCAATTTTATTTCACAGAAAAAAGCCAATGTGAAATCGTGTGTAACTGTCGATGGGCCATCGAGCAGCCACCATATTGGGCTTGTGGTTCTCACTCTACATAATGCACGAAAGGTTAACTGGATTGTAAAAACAAGAATATAATGGAAAATAATCACCCCCGCACCCCTCACCCCCCCCATCCCCGTTAAGAATAATACAGGATATGGGATAGTCCAAAACATGCCTGCAATGAGAAACATGGTGAGTGAATACATTCACGGATTTCTGTCCAGAAGTATCATCACTCTGTTGCTGCTGCCGGCATATCAATATGAAATCCACTGTATCCTGATGTTCCTGATTGAGCGTGAAAGTGAAATAACAATTATAAGACAATCCAATATCATCCCTTAAGTATGAATATATAGCTTACATATCAATAATACTGTTGTAGCCTCATTCAACAATCAGTTATTACACTCAAAGGGAAGAAATTGGAGTGCCTCAAAGGCTCCCGCCCATTGCGGAGTAAGGGGGGTTGGATGTACGCAGCCTGACCCCTATGCTTAAAACATAGAGCGGTTGTTTCCAAATGACCCACGATGAGGGTCATAAGTTGCATCGACTAACTTTTACTTCACTATTGAAAGAAGCACACTGTTTAAAGACCCATTTTGCTTTATCCCATCATACCCCAAAGACAAAAAATAGCGAATATTTGGCTCTGCCTAAGATGATGGAGGATCCCCCAGCTTCCAAAAAAGAAAATAAAATAGCTTGCTTTTCCTGCTTAGGTCAAAGGAAATAAATTGTGAAGAAGACCTGGATTGGCACTCCTTGGTGAAACCTTTCACAATTGTGAAAATCAACAAGTGGAAATTGGTTGACATCAAGCAGTACTTCATCACTGTCATGGTTAAGTTTCACATCTGCTCCTGTAAGAAGATAAGAAGCTCTATCCTCTTTGCTTGGAGCCTTCCTGAAACTCTGAAATCAAAAGGGTAGATGAATCATGAAGAATAACACACACACACACATGTGTGTTTGTGTTTGTGTTTGTGTGTGTGTATGATTTTATCATTAAATAAAAAAAATGATTTTTCATTGTTACACAATTTTAAAATTCGACCATTAGAAAGTAAGATAATTTACCTTCATCTTTAAAAAGTAAGACACAGCTTGTCCAGCAATCAAACAATCTGTAGGAACAGCTTTATTAATTGGTTCAATTAATGACATCTGCCACTGATTCCTGACGGACGATAATTGATGAACTTGAAAACTCTCTCCACTAGTCCTATTGACAATGTCCATGCGCACAAGTAGTTCTTGTAATGTAGCAGGACGAGGACTGATTTGGAAAGAGACATCTAATGAAGGAAGCACCTGCAAAAGTCAATTTATGACAATGCACAAGTATTTCTTTTTTTCTTTTTTTCTTTTTTGCAAGGAATTTTCTCGAAAAAAAAAAATCAGCAAGTGAGAATAAAATATGGTTGTGCAAAGTCATTAATGGCTGCAAGCAAAAGTAAAAATCATATTGGATGGAGGCAGTATTTATTGCTTCCCCTACAGAGAAGCAGACTGGCTGTCTATTGATTGGTAAATGTATCTAAGTGATCAAATATAAGCATTTTTTAAGTCTAGCCCAGCTATCTATTGGTTGGTTGTGCTTTGTTTGCTTGACAAATGAGTTCAAGCTGTATAGAGGGGCTATGATAAGATCCGGATCACTGATAGCAGAAGGCTACCTTAATTATATTATTATGTGTGGGTTAATTGAGTTTGTTACTGTTTTATATTTATTAAATAAAAGGACTCACAGGTTATTGGGAGTCCTAAGGCCCTAGGATAGCTTAGTTAGTTAGAACTTATCACTTTGTTGTTTTTGATATATATCCGGGAGCATGCCCGAAGACTCTCCGTAGCCCGCCAAGGGAAAGACAGATCAGGGGAATAAAGCCCAAGTGTGGTGACATTAATTGGGTTGAAACTTCTCCATTTTCCTGTCTTAGAACCCAACCCAACACCATGGTTGTCCTACACCCACCCTAGGCTGAGCCCACACTCTCCATACCTTCCCTAAACATCCAAAATATTTCCTTTTCAAAATAAAGTTTTCCTACTCCTATTTTAGGCCCTGGCCGAAAATAAGAGTGTGTAAACCACAACCTTTGTTGTTATTTTCTTTCTTTTAAACCTTTTAATAAACAAATAAAACCTTCTATCCTTTTCTATAAATCCCAGGCCAAATATCTCTCATTATCCCAACACAACATCAACCAAGATATTCCCCATTCTTGTCCCCTTAATGTTCCCTACTAGGGCTGAATAAACAACCACAAAAAGCCAAGGGACATTTGAGTTGTTGTTGATACACCACCTACTAAATCAGTCACCTCATATGACCAAGAATATAAGGCCAATACACCATCCATCACCCATCTTTGTTTGTCCCCTCTTTTTAGCCAGAATAT